CTGCGGCTGCCGCACGGGACGGTGGCCACCCCGGTGTTCATGCCGGTGGGCACGCAGGCCACCATGAAGGGCATCACCACCGAGCAGCTGGACGCGCTGGGCTGCCGCATCTGCCTGGGCAACACCTACCATCTGGGTCTGCGGCCGGTGGGTGGGCTCTGCGGGGCGGGGCGGCGCGCGGGGAGCCCTGCATCCCGTCCCAGGTCGGGAAAGGGGCCCAATGCCCATCACGTCTACACTGGGCATCCTTGGGGGGCGTCGGGGGGAGAACAGGACCCGATCGTCTTGCATCCGAACACGCGACCCGTGCTCGCCCCTCACTGGCCGCTCCGTCCCTGGGCAGTAACAAGGGGGCCGCAAAGTCCCAGGGTGGCTGCAGACGAGGTGCGTGATGACGTTCCCGGGCGCCCCAAATATGGAAGCTGCCTGCCTGGCTGGGGCAGCCGGATGAGAGCAGAGGGGCGTTCGTGTGGAGGCCTTGTTGGGGTCCACGGCGCGCGCGTCCATCTTGCCGGTTAGCGCTGTTCCCCGGGTGCCCCACATCGCTGCTGCTTCCCCTCCCGCAGGGTCCCGAGCTGATCCAGAAAGCGCACGGTCTGCACGGCTTCATGAACTGGCCCCACAACCTGCTGACGGTGAGGTGGAGCCCGGGGGGGAGGGGGGCTGAGGTCCCAGGGCGCGCCCCGGGGTGGCTCTCCCCTCCCCACCGCTGACAGCCTTGTGCCGGGGGTTCTCCCCGCAGGATAGCGGCGGCTTCCAGATGGTGTCCCTGGTATCCCTGTCCGAGGTGACGGAGGAGGGCGTCTGTTTTCGCTCCCCGTACGATGGCGCGGAGACCCTCCTGAGCCCCGAGAAGTCGGTGGAGATCCAGAACGCGCTGGGTGAGCAGACCGCGGGGTGCCGGTTGGCTTGCTTGCTCTGCCGCCTTCCGAGCTGCGAGCTTTGGAAGTCACTCCCTCTCGCTCTGAGCTTTGTCTCCAGGGGGGATCTGGGTTGGAACAGCCACAGTAGGATTCTTGTTAAAGATAGCAGGACATACTGGTAAATCTCTGAGCACAGTCTGGTATGTGGTTTTTAATGATCGCTATGGCCAGTATTTCCCTTTGAGAAGTCAGTTCTGGGGTTGTGATTGTTGTTGATCGGCGTCATCCAGGTGGTTCCCAGCCATAGTGACCTTATGCATAACAGGACAAAACACTGCCAGGCCCCGCTTTTGCCAGCCTCACAGTTGTTGCCCGTTGTGGTAGCTGCTGTGTGGACGATCCATCTCCCTGAGGGCCTCCCTCTCTTTCACTGCCCCTCTGCTTCACCCAGCAGGGACCCTGTGCTTCTCCAGGCAGTGGCCTCTCCTGATCGCATGTCCCAAGGAGATAAGATGCAGTCTTGTCGTCCTTAAAGTCCGCTAAAGGCCACTCTCGCCATACTTCATCCGAGACAGATGTGTTTGTCTTTCGGAAGCAGTACTCTCAGCATTCTGCACCAGCATAATTCAAAAGCATTGATTCTTCTTCTGTCTTCCTTATTCCCTGTCCAACTTTCTTTTCTTTTTTTTTTTCTTTTAGCACTGGTTAACTTTATCATTGTTTTTGCATTAAATCATTTTATTGGGGGTGCTGACATATATTATAACAGTCCATAAATCAGTTCTATCAAGCAAACTTGTGCAGATGTTGCCATCATTGATTTCCAAACTCTTTCTTCTTGAGCCCTTTAACATCAGCTCCTCTTTATTCCTTCCCTCCCCCGCCCCACCACCCCGTGAGCCCTTAATATATATTATTATTTGTATTCTGACATATCTTGCTCTGTCCGATATATCCCTTCACCTACAATTCTGATATTCTTCCAA